TATAAGGAAATCCGATTCTGCCTGGGATTTGCGCAACCTGTGACGGGCCGTCGTGCCTGCGACGGTCCGTCCTGCAGGTCGTCACAAGGGTCAGAGAGTCAATTTCCACTGAACAATCTATGACGGTCCGTCACGCCTGTGACGGTCCGTCCTGCCTGTGACGGTCCGTCCTGCCATTCCGTCACGAAGTTCAGAGAGTCGATTTTCAGTACCCAATTTCAGATTTTCTAAGTGTTTTGAAACGAGACCCTGCGACGGTCCGTCGTGCCCATGACGGTCCGTCGTGGAGTCCGTCGCCTCAGCCTGTTTTTCCAGAAATAAAATCTGCTGCTCAAAACGACTAAACAGGTCGTTACAATTGCAGATACAAATTTTACAACTTAATAACTTAACTTACGTTTTATAATCGTAACAACTAAAAAACATAAATAAAAAATCTTAACTTCATATTAGCTTCTCAAATTTTTAGTCATATACATGCATGTATCTAGTCTTAAAAAATAGTAAAGGTTTTGTGATTGACTTAGACTTGTTGACAATAGTAAAACATTTTTTTTCTTTTCTTCTCTTTAGTTGAATGATTCTTTGGCCCCCTTTTTAAGTTTTGCCTTTTATTCCACGTTTGACTCTAAGCACTTCAAGTCTTCTTGTGGCAAACTTTGATAGGGATAGGAATAAAGAAAATCTTAAACTCATAGCTCACGTTCATAATATTTATAATATTGTTACGATGTTTGATTGAATATAAAATTTTTAAAAAAATATTTTTAAGAAAAAATTAATTGTGATCTATACACTTGAGCAGCTAGTGAGCGTTAATAACGAGGGTAATCAATTGAATATCTTTTTAAAAAAATTAACATGTTTATGATTCACATTCTGAATTAGAAGTTTATAGATTTCAAATTAATATAAAAATACAATATTGATATAGAAAATTTTCAATTACATCGTAAAGTCATTGAAGGGGTATCAATCTATAAGAATAAATTTTTTTATTGTCACTATAAAAAAAAACTAATAGCATATAATTCTTTTCCTTATTAAATATTTTATTAAAAATCGACTAAATCAAATCATGAACATCCCTTAACGTTTCTCCTATTATCGTATGTAAAAATAAATAAAAAATTGCATATTTGATTGTAATACATTACATATTATTCAAATTAAAGAAGATTCATAAATGGTGACTTAATTCATCAATTACTGATCAACCGTGTATATATTGAAAATAACAAATAATAATAAATCAAAGAATACCAAAAAAATTAAATAATTCTTGATTATTTATTACTGATATTCTACCTTAATAATTTACTTACACATAATTTTATTTAGTATCATATCCTTAATATATTGTATGTATATTATGTTGACCTATTTTAGCTCTTATACAATCTAACATATAAATATTGTTTTACACTTTAGTTATCATAAGGGTGTTTTTGGTATTTAATTACCCTTATGTCCTTGATTTTTATTTTTATTAAAGAATAGTTATTTTGTTAATTTCGATAAATTGAATGTTGTCATGTCTTTTTATAATGCTTATTTTAGTGACCACCCAAAATGTTATATCTCTCTAAAATTATAAGATTTAATCAAGTTTCTTTATTGATATGTATTTATGTATTTTATATAATTTAAATTGTTAATCATTGTGTTCCATAATGATTTTACATAATAACAAATACATAAATTATTTATACATTTGAATTTTCATAAATTTTTTATTTTACTATATGCCTGTGCATATATGGAAAAAAAATAGAGAGATTTTTTGCGAAATTATAGTTAATGGACGTAAAATGTTATTGGTATTTTATGTTAAATTATAAATTAATAATTGTATCATATATATATAATTTGTATACCAATAACATTGTTATGCACCACAATTACAATTTGTACCTAACATATATCAATTTAATTATAGTCAATTAATTAGGAAATAGATTACATATATTAAATTAGAATTTGTTATATATATATATATATATATATATATATATATATATATATATATATATATATATATA